AAATATGTACCACAAGAAGTGGTATCAAAGTGGGGAACACCGCACTACATCCAGAACAGGTATGCTCTTCACCCAGAACTACATAAAATTGAAAAGGGTGGAATATAATACAAGTATGATGGTCCAGCCCTGACCAAACAGCTGAGGTTCCACAACTTGGGTAGGATTTAAGGGATGATGATATCCATATCCCACATTGGGGGCCAGATAGCTAAGCATCAAATTTGGACTGGTTTTTATGAGTAGGTTCCCACGTAGGTTGGTCCTGCTCTTACTGACAACTGGAGAAAAACTTCCAGGGACCCAGGTAGGAGGGTCCCTAACTTCACCTTCTTCTCCGACAGTGGAGAAAACTCAATACTCTGAAGGTAAATCCTCTGTCCACCATCCCAGTGACTGGAAACTGGGTGTGGTAAGGACTCCCGAGCTCCACTAGTAGAAGTAAGGGGGGGGGGGAACATAAGTGTTGGGGAGTTCCAGAGAACAGGTCTCTGGAGACAGTGCAACAGGTGAACCATGTTCCCTAATTTTTAAAAGCAAACTGATCTTGACTGATTCAACTCCAAGATCAGCAGGGACTGGCAAAATCCCCTTTAGGTTTACTCATGATAGTCCATGAGTAGCAGTCCAGATGCTCTTATGGAACACTTCATCTCGACAGAGTCCACTGCAACCAGGAACCTATATAAAAGTTGCTAGTGCAGAATTTAAATACAAGCATACCCGACTGGGCAACACTCGCCACTTAGTGGGATCCAAAAAAATCAATAGGGACCCTAGAAGAGAAAGGAACAATAACTGTACGTCAGATAACACATTATTCACCACCCTGTTAAAATCTAGTAGAGGTAGTCAACACAGCCACAGGGTGAAGACAAAGTCCCCTCGAAGAGGAAACTGCCAGATCGTAAAGGTAATGAGATATGAACGTGTTGGGAGAAGTCCACATACCAAACTGCAAGATATATCCCAAGAATAAGAACAGAAAAGATTAAGAGAATGAATGGAACAAGGAGTGGAAGGATGGGGTCTTGAGACACGAGGGGATGAACATGCAGAAGTACAAGTGGAAGTAGAATAGAGTCGAGCAGCCAAAGACGATAAAGAAGACTGCAAACGTGCTGTATATCAACTCTGGCTTCTAAAGATTCTGGAATTCCAGCATATAAATAAGGCAGAGAAAAAAGTTGCTTCCTGAAAATCTCGAAGGGCAGAAGAAGGTAAGTGAATACCCTCCAAAAATGTATCACGACTCAACAAGTCCCAGCAACAGACCAACCACAACATCAAAAACAAACATGTCATAGTAGTGACCAGTAAATGGCCCACTTCATCGTCGAATTGATGAGGCGATCGGTGATATGCTTCAGACAATAGTTGAAGGGAAGTATCTTAAAACAGTAGTAAAATTAAAATGAAACCGCAAAAATTTGGACCTGTTAAGAGAGATAACAGGTTCATACCTGGCACCCTATAGATCCAACCTTTGAGTGTCCAAACATATATATCATCCTCA